GCTCTGCAGTTAAACATCTGTGTGGCTATAAATGAGCATGTTGTGCTGCGGTGATGAATCTTGGAACTCTCTCTTACTGAATCAGCGTTTTGAAGAAGCTTCTTTACCAGATTCTGAGCAGCATGAACGCTCCAACCTAATTGTGCTGTAATGGCTCTTAAAACACTTTTATAAGACAATGACTGTGGTTTAAAGTTAAGGGCAGTGATTGAATTGACAAATCTCTAGTTCTAATTTCTTGAGGGTTCAAATACAGATCTCATTAACCAAGATATTTTTTTTTTTTTCTGTGTAGGTCCTCTGATGTGAACCCCGCAGTGTTCAGAGTGGCTTAAATTCAGAGGTCAGTTAAGATTTTCTGCCGTTGTTAAAATTCCACAGTAGGGTTTTAAGCATGATGATTACCATTAATGACAAGCATATGCCTGATTAATGTGATGTCAACCTTTAATCTGATTACCCTTTAATTTAGGCTAAAAACATGTAAATGTTAGTTATTGCAAATGATTAACAGTCGTATTTCTTTGCTAGGCTAAAGTTGGAGTTGTTTCAGAAGGAAGTGATGCCAAATCCGCATGTAAGTATTAAGCTTTAATTTTTTCAGGTTAATGTGAAATTCTAGAAATTGAATCTGAAATGCTAAATTAATTTATTGGTTCCATAATGTGAGGCACTTCTGACTGTTTGAAAGGATGAAATGGGTTAGCACCCATTAAACACCTGGACGACATGTGTCACATGGCAGTTTGTCACCAAAGCCCTGATCAAACATGCAAGTCCTTAATGGCACAAGAAGTAGTCCCTGCTTTTTTTATTTTTTTTTATTTTTTATTAACGGTCCAACTTCTCCTTTAGGGTCTTCCACCAAATGCTTGGGGAGGAAGGAAGTCGAGAAAGTTTCAAGGTAAGGATTTAAGACTTGCATATTCTTTCTGTTGAGCTTGTCGTGCAGAGACAAGACGTCTCATCTGCAGCGCAGTTTCAGTGATGATGATACTTAGCTCACTTTGACCCAATGTGAAACGACACGAACGTCTGAGCAACTGCAGCTTTTCACTTTGAAGGATTTCTATCATCTGTGTATTTTATTTGTCATAATACAATCTGCATGGCCACTTGAGTGATGTAAATGATTTCTGTTGTCAGGTGACTTGATGACTGCTTCAGCAGCTCATGGAGGCTTTCCGGTTTGAAGGTATGTTTAATAAAAAAAAAAAAAAATCTGTGCAGTTTTAAATATTCAGACCTGCTGAAAATGATGAGAGAAATTTTGGAATCTCGTTCGTCTGAACTGCTGTTGATAAAATTTAAATCTGAAGTCAGTGACGGTCCACAGGAAACACTGAGACTTGAACCTCCTTTCTGTACCTTGACTTGATGCAATCATCTTACAGGTAGCTGAAGTTTGGACTCCAGATGCTGCCATCACCATCCCAGCTGTTTGTCCAGGTGGGTGAACTCTGTAGCTTCGTTTTAGTGCTCATCTAGACTTCTTTATGTAGG